ATTAGGCAGAGTGAGAGATTAATAAATAAATTAAATAATATACAATAAAAATTAGTTAAAATTTATGAATATTTCTGGGATTTCCCATTAAGCATTTTTGGACTGTGGCTCACTGCAAGTAAACTGAAACCACAGAGAGTAAAATCACAGATAAGTGGGACTGCTGGACATAAACTATTTTTAAAAATTGTGCCATCTATTGAAGGCTTAGAAGCTAATTTTGGTCAATTTCAGTCTGAGTCACTAAAATTGCAGGAAATACATTGATGGTTTAGTAGGGGTACTATAGTACAAATAACTATTTTGAAACACTGGAGTCTACTGAAGGCTTGCAACTTTTAGGAGAAGGCATGGAAGGCAATTTTGGTCTATTTTAGTTCCTTAGTACAGTAAGAGCTACCCATTCCTCACTACCAGCCTCATGGCAGGCAGCTGTGCCTGTATTTCTCAAACAAATTACAAACACTCTGTAAGAACAAGTGTGGACAAAAAAGAGGCCCTGTCCTCTTCATATCAAGGACCTGCATTCGGATCACTAACAACTACTTCTGATCACAGAATTTCAAAGAGGGAGTGGCTACTATTGTTGCACCTCCTCCTCTTGCACACAAGCCCCTTGTTTTCCAGATGATGTGACTTCTAGAAGGGGGAATTAAGGAGTAAGTACTCCTTTCCCCTCAATTTGTTTCTTCTTATCCTTTAGGAAGCCAAACATTAAAGACTGGGACATTCAACTACAACTGAAAACCCAAGGAAAATTATAAAGTGAACATGTATGCCCAGGAAAGGTGCAAACTCAAAAAAGTCCTGAGAAGAACTTCTGGCACTGAGAAAAAAGCAACCAACTTTGGGAAAGAGAAAAAACTGACTGCCAGAGTGTACACATTATAGATTCAAATGTCCATGTCTCAACAACAAAAAAAGAAATTACAAAGCATATAAAGACTGGAAAGCATGACCCACTCAAAGGAAACATAAATCAACAGAAGCTGTTACTGAAAAACACTAGATGGCAGATCTGCTAGACAAATATTTTAAAACAACTGTCTTAAATATACTCAAAAAAATAATGATGTGGAAGAAATTTTTTAAAAATGAAAGTTTCAGTAAATAGAGAACCTAAAAAGAAACCAAACAGAAACTCAAGATGGAAAGTACAAGTGAAATGAAAAACCTGCTAGAAAGATCTGAGCAGACAGAGTAATAAATAAGCATGAAGACAACAATGGAAATGATGAAGTTTGAGAAAGAAAGATTCAAGTAAAGTGAACAGAGCTTAAGAGACCTGTGGCGCATCATCAAGTGGACCAACATACACATTGTTCAAGTCCCATAAAAAGAGAAAGGGGCAGAGAGGATACTAAAGGAATAATGGTTGAAAATTTCCAAAATTTGATAAAAGTAAAAAACAGATGGTCTCTAATGTACAATGATTGGACATATGATTTTTCAACTTTCTTGTTTTTTGATTTGTATTTATTTGAAAGGTAGAGAGGGAGAGAAAAGAGAAAGAGACAGAAGATATCTTCCATCTACTGGTTCACTTCTCAAAAGCCTAAAAATACCAGAGCTGAACCAGGCCAAAGCCAGGAGTTCAGAACTCAACCCAGTTCACCCATGTGGGTGGTAAGGACTTAAGTTCTTGAGCCATGATCTGCTGTCTTGCAGAGTGCACATTATCAGGAAGCAGGAACTGGATATGGAGTACCTACAACCAGGTACTTCAAAATCAGTAAACACTCATTCCAGATGCTACGCCAAACAGCTGACCCTGAGTTTTCAACTTTATGATGATGCTAAAGCAATATGCATTCAACAGAAATCATATTTCAAATTTTAAAGTTTGATGTCTTCCCAAGCTTGTGATATAAACTATGATATTCTCTTGCAATGTTGGGCAATGGCAGAAACTGCAGCTCCCAGTCAGTCACACAATCTCCAAAGTAAATAATTGATATTCAAGTATACCGTGTTGCTAGGTTATGATGTTCAGTTAGATATTTTAAATAAATTTTCAACTTATAATGAGTTTACTAGGACATAGATCATCTGTAAGCTGAAGAGAATCTGTATAAACAAGAGCCCAACAAATTTCACAAAAGAGAAACTCAAACCCACATCCAGTCACAATAGTATCAACTTTTCAAAGACAAAGATCTTGAAAGCAGCAACAGATAACCAATTAATTGTATAGAAGAGAGTCTCTATAGAATTATCAGCAGATAGCTCATTAGAAACTGGAGGCAAGAAATAAACAGACTGATACAGTCAAAGGGCTAAAAAGAAAAAAACCCATCAAACGAAAATTCTGTATCTGGCAATACCATCCTTTACAAGTAGGAGGGTGGGACAGGCCTTGGCACAGAGGTTAAGATGCCATTCAGGATGCCCACATACCTGGTTTGAGTCCTAGCTCCACCACTTCCAAACCAGCTTGTTCCTTATGCCCTAGGAAGCATAAGATGATGGCTCAAGTACTTGCGTCCCTCCAATTCATATGGTAGAACTGGGTTGAGTTCTGGATTCAGACTGGCCCAACATAGCTTTTGTGGGCATTTGAGGAGTAAACTAGGAGATGGGAAATAAATTTCTCTCTCTTTTTCAAGTAAAAGTGAAAATAAATTTTAAAAAAATGAAAAGTTAAGATGTCTGCAGATAAACAAAAACTGAGTAGTCTGTTACCACTAGAGCTGCCTAGCAAGAAATATTCAAGAAAGCCACGCAGAATGGAATCAAAGAAACCAAGACAGTAACTCAAAGCAACAAGAATTAAAGATCTTAATAAGGGTTAAATACACAGGCAATTGTAAAAACGGGCACTGTAACAATCGTATGTAACTCCACCTTTTCTGTTCCACATGCCTGAAGACACTATGAATATATTTTTTAAATTATGCATCTAAAACCTAGTATTATTCTAATTTTGATTTATAAGCCTATATATTTTGTTTTCTTCATAATTTAAGGCTAATGTATGTAGAAGAATTTACCAAATCATTATGCTTTAGGGCACACAAAGTACAATGATGAATTTAGTAACTCCACAACTGAAACAGGTGGGGATAGTATTAAATGTAATAATCCCAATAATAAACAGAAAGAGCTATATATAGAACAGACACAAATGGAAATGAAAGAGGAATTTAAACATTTCACTATAAAACTCATAAAATACAAGAGTATTTTGTATGAAATGAACAAAAAAAATTATAAAACAAACAGCAAAATAACAGAAGCAAGTTTTAGGATATGGAATAAATGGTAAAAAAGAAAACAACTGTGGTAGCCAGTGCTGTGGCATAGTGGGTAAAGCCGCTACCTGCAGTGTCGACATCCCATAGACGCCGGTTCAAGTCCTGGATGCTCCACTTTCAATCAGGCACTCTACTATGGCGTGGGAAAGCAGTAGCTGATAGCCCAAGTCCTTGGACCCCTGCACCCAAGTGGAAGACTGGAAGGAAGCTCCTGGCTTCTCATCAACACAACTCCAGCTGTTGCAGCCATCAGGGAATGAACCAGCGGATAAAAGACTCCCTCCCTCCCTCCCTCCTCCTCTCTCTCTCTCTCTCTCTCTTTCCACCTCTGACTCTCTGCAACTCTTGCCTTTCAAATAAATAAATAAATCTTTAAAAAAGAAAAAGAAAAAGAAAGAGGCCGGCGCCCTGCCTCAATAGGCTAATCCTCTGCCTTGTGGCGCTGGCACACAGGGTTCTAGCCGGATTCTGTCCTGGTTGCCCCTCTTCCAGGCCAGCTCTCTGCTGTGGCCAGGGAGGGCAATGGAGGATGGCCCAAGTCCTTAGGCCCTGCACCCCATGGGAGACCAGGAGAAGCACCTGGCTCCTGCCTTCGGATCAGCGTGGTGCGCCGGCCGCAGCATGCTGGAGAGTGAACCAACGGCAAAGGAAGACCTTTCTCTCTGTCTCTCTCTCTCACTGTCCACTCTGCCTGTAGGAAGAGAAGAGAAGAGGAGAGAGGAGAGAGGAGAGAGGAGAGAGGAGAGAGGAGAGGAGAGAAGAGAGAAGAGAGAAGAGAGAAGAGAGAAGAGAGAAGAGGAGAGAAGAGAGAAGAGAAGAGAAGAGAGAAGAGAAAGAAAACAGCTGTGGACATAAGACATGGACACTCACAGGGCTCCGGAGTGGAGCAGAGAGGAAATTAATATAGATTTCAAAACATTTAAGAAACAAAACAACAAATTATATTGTGGGGCCCTAGTTCAGACTATGATTTGACCAAATGAATTGGATACTAGATATTAATATGTTACTAAATCTGCTAGATGAGATACATTATAATTATGTATAGAAATACTTTGATATATTCTCAACTATCTAAAGTAAAATGGTATCACATCTGAGATGTGACTTAAAATAAGAGACAAGCATCAAGTACTACAAAGCTTAACAGAAACTAGATTACAAATATATGGAGGTTCATGATGTATTTTCTCTATTTCAACTAACATTTAACACTTTTGTTAAATAACAAATCACTCCTTCAAAAAAATGTTCAAAACACATCATTGACAAAGTTTATTATCAAGAAATTTTAGTAGTAGAGTTTTTAAAAGAATGTTACAGCTTCAGGATACTGAAAAATGACAATCCATGACAGGACATATACAAAGATAATTAAAATATTAAATACGATCTAAATTAAAAGACCATAATTCAAATCTCTAATTGTAATCTTTGTGTCTTGGGAGAAACAGCTGCAGTTTCCCTTCATGAAATTCACTCCACCTTCTCAGAAGACTAAGAGACCTCATGACAAGTTTAATTATTTAATTTTCAGTGATCAATGCAGAGTTTCTTTGCTTAAGCATGCACTATCACAGAAAGCACAAAATCCTATTTATACGGATTTTTAGTTTTCTTCAAAATGTCTCGAGCAGCTTTTAGAGTGCAAGCTACAAATAGCCTTATCCTTTAAAAAAAAAAAAAGCTTCTAAAAGAAGTATGAGATAGATATCCAATACTGCCAAGAGTGGTTATATAACTAACCGAAGAAAACTGGCAGTACTCTGCTAACTCTGTTTTAATGTAGCAGCCTCCTCTTCAGTAGCTGATTTCTTAGTTCTTATTATACTACCAGCCGAACATGTACTCCATTGCTTTGGATACAAGACTTTCATCTTTTTTTGGCGTCTGTCTGTCAGAAATAACCTATCAAAAAAACACACATACACACAAAAAAACTGTTAGTTGATGATTTCTTCAGTGTCCTAGTCAATTCTAGAGTTAATGGCTAAATAAAAAGAGAAATATTAAAATGTATTTATAGCATTCAATTGTCTATTCTTAAAAACAATGTTATGCTTTCAAGAATAGCAAAATTAGGGGGTCGACACAGTGGCACAGCTGGTTGGTACCAGTTCAAGTCCCACCTGCTCAACTTCCAATCCAGCTTCTTGCTGATGCACCTGGGAAGGCAACAGAAGATGGCCCAGATACTTGGGTCCATACTACCCATGTGGGAGGACAGGATGGAGCTCCTAACTCCTGGCTTTGACCTGGACCAGATCTAGCTGTTGAAGCCATTCGGGGAGCAGAGCAGTAGATGGAGTACCTCTCTTCTCTGACTTTCCCTCTCTCTCTCTGACACTCTTTCAAATAAATGTTAAAAAAAAAAAAAAAAAAAGAGAGAGAGAGAGAGAGAAAAGAGTAGTACAAATCATAAATCGTATTCCTTTGACAAAGCATCTGCTACTTAAGTTAGATATCTAACAAATATAACAAAAGCTGTAAGCAAATGGGGACTTTAAAATATCCGTAAAAAAAAAAAGAAAAAAAAATGTCCAGAACAGTCTCCAAATCACAAGGGAAATAAAAAACTGAACTAATACTACCGATCATACTTAAAGCACCAGGTGCTTTATGTACTATGTTTCAGGTTCTGTGTCAGAAACTGATTAAGTTCTAAACCCGAGGCTAATATTCAGTAAGAGACAATAAATACTGAATCACATAGTTCTACCATTCTTCAAGGAATATAATCAGCTTCTTTACATTTTCTTAAATTAAAATTTTTTTCTCTCTGAATAATGGGAGCTGATCACTTTCAATAACCAAAGCTACCACCACCTATGATGATACCATCAGATTTACTCATCAATTTAATAGTTTTAATGCCTGAGATGTAAACCACAAACATTCTATATATATGAATATACAACTAAGAAAAAACTGTAACTTTCAAAATATTTAAGAAATGATTTTTTTATCACTTCTCGGCCTTTTGGCTAAGATCAAGTGTGTGAAGAAATGATGATTATTTTTAATTCAAGATAACTCTTCAATGGCCAAGATTCTAACTTTAAAATAAGAAATTTGAGAAGTTTAAAGGTTTCATCAAGGCAACCACTTCCACTGTTAATAGCATACAGACCAATCCAGTGAAAAAGTTACAAATGCTATATACTCCACATTTAAAATACAACTTTTTCCTTTTTTTTTATCTTTTATTTAATAACTATAAATTTCAAAAGTCTAACTTTTGGATTACAGCAGTTTTTTCCCCCCAAACCACCCTCCCACCTGCATACCATCCCATCTCCTACTCCCTCTCCCATCTCATTCTTCATTAAGATTCATTTTTAATTATCTTTATATACAGTATATACTTAGTATATACTTAGTAAAGATTTCAACAGTTTGCATAAGGTACAACTTTTTCACACAATGCTTAAAATACCTGATAATCACTAGTAGAAGCTTTATATGCTGTAGCAAGAGGTCTCATGGTAGAAATTCTGGGAGTACTCCCAGGCTGTGTTGGTGTACCTAAGGTTTTGATTGGTGGTGTAAAGGCTAAAGATGGGGATGACAAGGCGTATCTGTCACTGTTTTCCATAACGCTCTGTGGAAACAAACAATTCCTTGTTTATAAGTGTAATACATAATTTACAAAAATACATCCAACTTAGCAAGAAAATTTTATCCCCTAGCCTCTGCAAACATCTGATGTACCATGGATAATAATACAACCAACAGTGACAACAAATTTTAAGAACAGCAACCATCTCTGCTATGTTCATTGGGTATATACCAGTTATCAACATAGAACCATTTCCCATTATTTACATAAAGAATGTTCACAATGATCTTTACAAGCCACAAAGAAAAGATTAAATTGTACTCATTATGGGACCGGCGCTGTGACGTAGCAGGTAAAGCCGCCACTTGCAGTGCCGGCATCACATATGGGAGCCAGGTCCCAGCTGCTCCACTTCCAATCCAGCTCTCTGCTATGGCCTGGGAAAGCAGTAAGACGGCCCAAGTCCTTCAGCCCCTGCACCCACGTGGGAGACCTGAAGAAGTTCCTGGCTCCTGGCTTCAGATCAGTGTAGCTCCGGCTATCGCGGCCATCTGAGGAGTGAACCAGTGGATGGAAGACCTCTCTCCCTCTCTCTGCCTCTCCTTCTCTCTCTGTATAACTCTTTTAAGTAAACAAATAAATCCTTAAAAAAAATTGTACTCATTCTTTATTAAGTATATCTAATTTTCAAACATTTTAAATAAAAAAGACTAACAAAAACCCATCTGAGCAGTGAACCAATGGATGGAAAATCTCTCTCTCTCTCTCTCTCTCCTCTTCTCTTCTCTGTCTCTCTGCCTTTCAAAAAATAAATAAATGTTACATAAATATCTGGCTATCAGAAAGATTACTTTAAATGTCATCACCAACTACAAAGAAAAAAGAAAAGGCACAATGAAGCCAAGTGATATAAACCATCAATGTCAATACTTAGTCTTGTGTTCTTCACATAAATAAAGCTATTTGGCTTACATCACCAATAACTTACTTTGTCTATACATGGCTTCACACCAATCATGATGGATTCTCCAAAAATTCTCCCATCTTTGCTTAAGGCTTTCCGGGCCTGCAGTTTAGATTGATAATGAATATGCATCCAATTTCCTGTGTTAGACATCTGCAAGAAATGAAGTGGTCTCTTAAAATACAAACATAAAAAATGTATACCTAGTGAACCCGACTGGAAAATAGAAACGTAAAAATAAAATTACATTTCCATTTTTTATTTGATGCCCTGTACAAAGTTGTACACTAGGGTTGAGCAAAAATCCTATGGAATAGTTTCAATAATTTCTACGTAGCTCTCAATGCTCTAAAATAAAAAACATATGGCAATATTCTCTGATACCAAAATAACTCTCCAAAGATAATTGTTTCTAATTAAAAGGGTATATCAATACTTCCTATAAATTTTTTAAAATTATAGTCACTAATCTGATTTTGTATAGCAGTTAACTAAGTCAATTCCTAGTAATCAAAAAAAAATTACTTATAACTTGTACTAAGTAATCTAATTAAGTAATTATTTTTTTTAAATATACAAGGTCCTAAAAACTCAAACTCAGGCACTTCTTCCTGTTCCTTTATCCCCAATAACATAAGATCAGGGTTGGCAGTTAGTCTAGTGGTCAAGACACCAATTAGGATGTTCACATCCCACACTGGATGCCTGGTTTTGATGTCCATCTCAGGCTCCTGACTCAAGCTTCTTGCTAATGCAGACCCCAGAAGGCAGTGGTGATGACTCAAGTGGGTTCCAGTCATCCATGTGGAAATTGTAGGTTGAGTTCTGGCTCCTGGCTTTAGCCTTGGCACAGCCCTGTTGCAGACATCTAGGGAGTAAATCATCAAATGGGAGATTTATCTTCCTCTTTCCCTCTCTCCCTCACTCAAGTGATTAATTTATTTTAAAAAACAAGTTCAGATTAAACACAGTAATATTTGATATAATTCATCATTTTAAAGAGTCTATAGGGTCAGGCGCTGTGGCACGGTAGGTTAATCCTCTGGCCTCCAATGCCAGCATTCCATTTGGGCGCCAGTTCGAGTACTGACTGTCCCTCTTTCAATCCAGGTCTCCGCTATGGCCTGGGAAAGCAATAGAAGATGGCCCAAGTCCTTGGGCCCCTGCACCCACGTGGGAGACCAGAAGCTTCTGGCTCTGGCTTCAGATCGGCTCAGCTCCAGTTGTTCCAACCATCTGGGGAGTGAACCAGGGAATGGAAGACCTTTCTCTCTGCCTCTCCCTCTCACTGTCTGTAACTCTAACTCTCAAATAAATTAGCAAAATCTTAAAAAAAAAAATAAGAATCCATAAACTATTTAGAAGTGGGAAGTGAATCCCAAAACTCTCAATCTTCTTCCTTATCTTGTCATTATCCCTTATTAATAAGCATGATGTAATTTTCAGCCTTCCAGACCAGAAGGACCCATTGTATCAAATCTCTAAATTTTTTTAAGTTTAGAAAAAACAGACAAAATTCAGAAGCGGTTTCCTTCAATTCATACTGAATTCATCTTGAATTGAAAAAGTGTAAGCCTTACCACATGTTTTAAGATATTTCCATATTGAGCAAACTGTAATAATATATAGGAAGCAGATGCTTGAGGAAATCTGAAAAAGAAAAAAAAGAATTGTCCAAACAAACCAGTCAACTGCCACTGTGAACAGGAATGCAAATTAACATTCTAATATGTGTTTAGATAAATTCATCCAACTGTCCAGAAAATTAATGGGAGATTCCTGATTGATTAACCAATTTTCTTCTTTATGGCCAAATGCTACCAATCACTCAAAAGCAATTGTGTTAGTCTTGACTCAAGATGTTCTCCAGCTCCAGGTTCTACTTTTGAGACCTCTAAAAACTCCCCTCACTACTATTATCATAGTTCTTCAAAAAGAATTTGAAACGTTCTTCAAATAGTTCTGTACATATTTTACAGCATGTTTACATTTAGGTATTCTATGGTTATTAAAAAGGAATTATAGGTTATAGAGTCATAACATTCTGCATTAAGCAGTATCTAAAAATTCTGAACTTTATCACTGAAAAAAAATTAAATTCAGCACCAATATCAATGATACAGAATCATCTGAAGGGATGGTTACCAAAATTTTAATAGCCATATATTTGTATGGGAAAATTCTAAGATTTTTACTTTCTTCCTTATGTTTTCATGACTTGAATATTTCAGAAGATATGATTACTTTTACAGTCCAAACAATAAAGTCTGAACAATTTACAAACATTAATAGCTGTCAACAGTCAAGAAAGATGTATCTAGAGGTTCTTTGGTCACTGACTTCAGTTAATCTAGGGCTCAGGTTAGAAAACTAAGCAAAAAATTCAGTCATAAAAATAAATAACTGGGGCTGGCAATGGTAGCACAACACATTTAGCCACTTCCTGTGATGCGCACATCCAGTTTTTAGTCCTGGCTGCTCCATTTCTGATACAGCTCCCAGCTAATGAACCTGGTAAAGCAGCAGAGGATGGCCCACGGAGGATAGTCTTGCTTGCACTCACATGGGAGACCCAGATGAAGCTCCTGACTCCTGGTTTTGGCCTGGTCCTGCCCTGGCCATTGCAGCCAATTAGGGGAATGAACTAGTGGATGGAAGGATGGAAGATCAAGTTTTGTCTCCCCTCTTTCTGTAACTCTTTCAAAAAAAAATTTTTTTAAAAAGCAAACACACTAAACACTAAATACAATCTATATGGATATTTGCTGCATTCAGAACAAGAATTCAATTATGCTTATGTAACTACAAATATGTTATTTTTCCAAATAACAATGTAAATGAGGCAAAATGTCTAAAAAGCAGAGGTTTAAAAAAAAAATAACGGAGGCGCCAGCACTGTGGCATAGCAGGTAGAATCACAGATTCAGTGCAGGAATCCCATGTGGGCGCCAGTTTGAGTCCTGGCTACTCCACTTCCAGTCCAGCTCTCTGCTATGGCCAGGGAAAGCAGAAAATGGCCCAAGTCCTTGGGCCCCTGCACCCACGTGGGAAGACCCCAAGGAAGTTCCTGACTCCCAGCTTCAGATCAGCGCAGCTCCAGCCAATGCGGCCAATTAGGGACTGAACCAGCAAATGGAAGACCTCTCTCTCTCTATGTAACTCTGACTTTATTTAAAAGCAATGTATATAATGTATTTATATAAGTATTTCCCTACAAATAAAATGAAATGTTTCATTCTTAAAGAATGCTTCAGTTCTCAAAATTAAGCTCACATAAAGGTTTACTAAAACATGAAAATAGCAAAAAAAAAAAAAAAAAAAAAAAAAGGAAGTGGCAGAATGTATATCTTACATATTAAAAAAGGGGTTGGCATTCTGGTGAAGACTTCTGCCTGAAACACCGGTATCCCATACGGGCTCCAAGACCAAAAATACACAAAAAACAAGTGGCAATCATGCCCTAAAGAAAAAAAATATAGCTGAGGACTAAAGTAGAGTAGAATATTTTTTTCCACAGTTTTTATGTATACATTTGAATTTTTACATTTTGAATACATAAAATGCACAAAATATTAACTGTGTGTTATTCTTCCTTCAATGAATCTAAGTGTTCTTTTTATATTTTTATTCCAAAAATAAATAAACCACACCAGTATTAGTTTGAAAAGTCAGAAGACCTGAGTTTTTAATCTAGTTATTAACTAGATATGAACTTCTGAACAAATAACTTGTTTATACCTCAGTTTCCTCATCTGTAAAATAAAAAGATTACATAATATTGTCTCTATAGTGTTTTAAAGTACTTTTTTGGCCACAAACAGCTATTCAAAATGCATCTGGAACTATAATCCTTTGTTTCTAATAATACATGATATTTGGTTAGAAAGTTTCATTCCCGAGGCCGGCGCTGTGTCACAGGGGGTTAAAGCCTTGGCCTGAGGAGCTGGCATCCCATAGGGGCGCCGGTTCTAGTACCGGCTGCTCCTTTTCCGATCCAGCTTTCTGCTGTGGCCTGGGATAGCAGTAGAAGATGGCCCAAGTCCTTGGGCCCCTGTACCCATGTGGGTGACTCTGAAGAAGCTCCTGGCTCCTGGTTTCAGAACAGCGCAGCTCCAGCCGTTGCAGCCAATTGGGCAGTTGTTGTTATTTTATATTTATTTATTTATTTATTGGACAAATAGAGTTAGACAATGAGAGAGAGACAGAGAGAAAGGTCTTCCTTCCGTTGGTTCACCCGCCAAGTGGCCACTACAGCTGGCACTACACCAATCTGAAGCCAAGAGCCAGGTGCTTCCTCCTGGTCTCCCATGCGGATGCAGGGGCCCAAGCACTTGGGCCATCCTCCACTGCACTCCTGGACCACAGCAGAGAGCTGGACTGGAAGAGGAGCAACCGGGACTAGAATCCGGCGCCCATGTGGGATGCCGGTGCCGCAGGCGGAGGATTAACCAAGTGAGCCACAGCGCAAGACCACCAACTGGGGAGTGAACCATCAGATGGAAGACCTCTCTCTGTTTCTATGTCTCTCTGTAACTCTGTCTTTCAAATAAATAAAATAAATCTTTAAAAAATAAAATAAAATAAATACTACACACAAATAGCAAAGCCTGGGTAATAATACACATGTTGAAGTATCAGGGTGTTATGTACTAATACCTACAACTTACTATGAAATCCATTAACAGAAAGTTGGATTGATGGACAAATAACACAAAAAGCAAATGCACCAAACTATTCACATCTGTACAATATAAGTGGTAGGTTTCTGCTGTGTAAATTCCTTTATTTTTTCTAAATGATAATATTTATTCTCAAATATTGAGGTGGAGGTATTTTTTAAAAAAGGTAAATGATTCAACAACCTTACCCAAACACAGTCACCCAAGTGTCATCGAGGTGATCTTCTGAAGTCAGAGAATCTCCTTGAGTATAAAAAGGATCCAACTGGGCAGGAGACAATGTTGTCTTTCGTGGCTGACCAATATTTGCTGGACTAAACATACTCTGTCCTATATTAGTATATTTAGTAAGTTAATTACCAATATAAATACTTGGTTTAAGTCAAAGATCTTAGTTTTAAATTAAAAAGTGTATTAAAAGTTGACAATTAAATAGCTCAAAATATACAACTGTGATCAAATGATAATTTCATAACCAAATAATGAGTCATAAAAATTGGGAAGTTTATGATTTTATAAATGTTGATTTTATTTTACATTATAAATTTGTTACATACTTTGTTAATTTCTGACTAACTGTATCAGAAGGACTCTCCCAATCAACCTCAAGAATTTCTGTTGGTTTCAACTTCCAAACCCACCACTTTCATCACAGCACCTCTGCCTTAAAAATATTCAGAAACTCCTCATTATATACAGACCAAAACCCAAATGCCTTAGCTACCTTAATATGGTTCCAACCTCATTTTTCCAGTACACCCTAAGCAATACACACTGCTTCCTAAGATGTGAATACAGCTTTCTTTTATTCAGATCATTCTATCTAAAATGCCTTATACTAGTGCTTTTTATCCTTCAGTGGCACTGCCAAGTAGTGAGTACTTCTTTGTGTAAAATGTGCTATGCTAAACAGTTTACATGGTTGTGTTTTTCTCACAGGTGCTATTCAATTAAGACCATTCATTTCTGAGGAATAGAGACTGTTTTTCCTTCTTTTTTTGTGGCAGTAATGATTCATTTGTTCAATTATTCATTTATTCAGCACTAATATGTACCAAGCATCATTCTAGGTATTGAAGACTTAATAGGATATTATAGAAAAAAAAGGATATAATAGTAAAAAAGTCAGTCAAAATGAAACACTCATGCTTAATAAGCCTAATTTCTGGAGCAGGAGAGATAAATAAGTAAATAACTAGTGTAGAGGAAAGCAAAGTCCTATTGAGAAAATAATAATAATAATAATAATAATAATAATAATGTAGAAGGGTTAAATGAAAATTCACAAAAAGTGCCTTTAATGGGAAAGACTGAAAGAGATGGGAAACAAAACATGTCGGTGACTCCAAAACTAAATATGAGATGGAGATGACAAAGTGCCAAGGTCTTAAAAAGGAAATGACCGGTATTGGATGAATACTAAGAAGGCCACTCTTCACACAGTGAGAGATCTCAAGTAAGAGCCAACATGAGAGTAGAGATCAGGAGGACTAATCTTGTAAGCCACTGTAAAGGATTTGGCTTCTCCTCAAGTGAGGTTCCCAACCAACAGAAAATTCTGAGCAACAGTGACCTAACAGCATTAAAATTTTGAAATGATAAGAGGTAGCAGCATTTTACTATGTGCTGATTATTATACTATTCTTTACATTTGTATTTTTATTTCTAACAAACCTATAAGGTAGGCTCCATTTAACAAATTAGGAAGCAGGAATATATTAAAAATCAACCAGAATGGAAGTTGGAATTCCAGTCCAGATCTTCAGAATCCAAAGCCTGAGCTCTTATTAAACAGCAACTTAGTTAACATTTATATTTACTTTAGCACAAGTACTTAAGAATGGTCCACAAATCTGATTCCCAAGACCCACTGATGAATTCAGCCAAATCAAAATTATTTTATGTGGCCAGTACTGTGGCATCACCATGCTAGCATCCTATATGGGCACTGGTTTGAGTCCTGGCTATCCTACTCCCAATCAAGCTCCCTGCTAATGCACCTGAGAAAGCATTACTTGAGCCTCAGACACCAATGTAAGAAACCCAAATGAGACTCCTGGCTCCTGGTTGGCTTAAGCCTGGCCCAGCCCCAGACATTGCAGCCATTTGGCAAGTGAGTCAGCTGATGGAAGATCTCCCTCCCTCCCTCCCTCCTTCTCTCTCTCTAACTCTACCTTTCAAGTAAAATAAATCTTAAAAAAAATTTCATAATTATGTATAGTCCATTTGTCCTTTTTTAAAGATTTATTTATTGGGGCCCGCAACTTGGCGTAGCTGGTGAACCCGGCGCCTGCAGTGCCGGCATCCCATATGGGCACTGGTTTGAATCCCAGCTGCTCCACTTCCCATTCAGCTCTATGCTATGGCCTGGGAAAGCAGTGGAAGATGGCCCAATTCCTTGGGTCCCCACACCCCCGTGGGTGACTCGGAAGAAGCTCCTGGCTCCTGGCTTCAGGTCGGCGCAGTTCTGGCCGTTGTGGCCAATTGAGAAGCGAACCAGCGGATAGAAGACCTCTCCCTCTCTCTCTCTCTCTCTCTCTGTCTCTTTCTCTCTCACTGTCTAACTCTGCCTGGCAAAAAAAAGAAAAAAAAGAAAGAAAGGCAGAGTTACAGAGAGGGAGAGAGAGAGGAGATTTTCCATTCGTTGGTTCATGCCCCAGATGGCCACAACGGCTGAAGTTGGACCAGTCCAAAGCCAGGAGCAAAGGGCTTCATCCAGGTCTCCCATGTGGGTGGAAGGGCCAAGCACTTGAGCCATCTTCCACTGCTTTCCCAGGCCATAGCAAAGAACTGGAAGTGGAGCAGCCAAGACTCAAGCTGGCACCCATATGGGAAGCCAGGGCTGCTTTACCTGCTATGCCACAGCATCGGCCCCTCATTTTTCACTCTTGCTCTCTAATGAATGTACAGTGGACTCTTCCTCTGACATGACTCAAAAGACTCAGGTTGAATGCAGAAGCAGATTCATGAGAACTCAGCTGCTATTTTATCAAGCAGATATTAAACAGATGTGAAAAGCATAAAACGTCATTTAGAAAAACCCTTTTTTTACAAATAGTTTTCACTTTAAAAAAGTTATTATTTGAAACAAGTTTTTTTTTAAATGAATTAACATAGACTTTAAGATTTCATTTTAATTTTTCTTTTTGAGGCGATAATATGAGGATCTACCATTATCTTTAAAAAGTTAGAGTATGTGCCTGTGTAACAACATACATCTATCTATCTTACCCAATGGTTCAATAACCTCTGGTACACTGGCCATTCCAGCCCACTACCAAACAGTTACATATTCCTCATGCTTAATACTGAAGACAACAAATTGACTGTGAGATACTGACTGCACTACAGGCCCAGGAGCAGTCACAGATAGATCCCAAGTTCAAAGCTGAATCCTAATAAATACTAGTCTGAAAAACACCATCAACACAGAAGCATGAGTGCACACACAGCACTTTCACCATAAGAAACCTGTATGTCAAACCAAAAGAAAACAAAATTTCAATGGTTTCCCTTCTTCAAGGGAGCAAGATGTTCTTGCATACCTGGGAAAAGCTAGTTCAAGGATAAATTCATCAAATTCACAGAAAAAATTTCATAATTTTTCTGCCAGAATTTTGAGATGGATGATCTTGAAATCCAGTTTAAGTATCTTTAGTTTAAAAAAAAAAAAACTATTTCTCATTTATGGCATGGCAATAGTATTATCTTCACTGACATTCATTTACATGTTAGTGAACAGTATGAATTCTGTAACTGTGAAAATGGCTCAATGAGACACCAGTGGTGTTACTGGTGACTGAAGTTAGATTCCTCAGAGACTAGCAACTATCACGGGGACTTTCACAACCTGTGTGCAAGGTGGCCTTGAGTCCCCAGCTTTCATTTGTAATACAATAAATATTAATAGCTAAAATACACATAAACAAAAGTTCTTTGGTTTTCAAATTCTAAAGACTGTAAAGAGGGTCATAAAACCCAAGTAGAGAACCACTATTCTCCAGGGTCATGCAGAAGATTCACATTCCACTTTTACTGATTTTCTGCTATCTACTTGCTCAATACATTCTAAATACAGTATACATGTACTGCCTTGTCATTTATCCTGAATTCCCAACAGACTTGAAAATCACACTAAATCATTCCAAAGTGTTTATGTTAAAATGGGTTTCTGAAAGTATGTTCTTAAGAAATAAAAATGATTCTCTACAGATAAAAGGAAAAAGCTATTATGGTAAAGTTTTTATAAAAAGCTATATACTATATTATCCTAATGGGAGATTTATAATGCATGGAACCGTGGCAAAAACTGTAAGAGATCATCTAGCAAGGAAATCTTTATGACCTCATCCAACTCAAAATTTCCCATTTACAACTTAACCACATTTTACCCTCATAAAACACATATGTTGCTAATACTGATCTTATGTCAAAAACCTCCTTATAAGTTCAGAAGAATTCACAGGAACAAAACCTATTAGGAAATGAATAAAAAAGCCACTATTCAAATCCAAAGCTGAGGTGCAAAAAAGGCTGCCAACTGAGTTTTAATTTCCTATTTATGAATAGAAAATGATTTCCTGAGAGCCATAAAGAGGTTTAACAAACAAGTTATACTAAACGGCCAGATACAATGACACATTATTAATCAATCACAAAGAAGAACCAGAAAGTCAAATTACCCAACATTTTCATAATACATAAAAGGTCAAAGTAAATTTTAAAACAAACAGCCAAACAAAACTGTCTCAATGGTCCCCAAAAATCTATTTGGGGAGATTATTTTATTCTATTTCCTTACATTCCAACTGCTACTGAATCACAATAATCACATCTTTAACATAAAACAGGGGGAAATGCAGCACCATATGTTGCTTTTTTGGAAGGTAACAAGTATTATGTTAGGAGGCACCCAGAACTGGATTGATCTGGATGACAGAAAGGTAATATTGCTAGCCCTGAACCATTTACCACCACAGACAGCATCATATAGTAGAAAGAGAATAATTATTTTCTAAGATTTACTTATTGGAGCCAGTGTGATCTGGTGTAGTAGGCTAGGCCTCCACCTGAGGCGCTAGCATCTGATATGAGCACCTGTTAAGTGTCCCAGCTGCTCCTCTTCCAAACCAGCTCTCTTGCTTGTGCCCTGGGAAAATAAGAGGAGGATGGCCCAACTGCTTGAGTTCCTGCACCCTCTGGGGAAGCCCAGAGGAAGCTGCTGACTCCTGGCTTCCAATCGGCCCAGCTCCAGGCTGTGATGGCCATTTGGGGAGTGAACCAGCAGATGGAAGGCCTTTCTCTCTATCTCTCCGTCTGTCTATAACACT